AACCGGTAGGGCGTCAAACATATTTAATTATTCAATGATGGTAATTTGGAAGAGAATATACGTTTGATTGATAAAAGGGATCAGGAAATTGAAACGAAAAATGGTAAATATGTACACCTTTAAAATGGAAGTAGAAAATGATAAGGATATCATTGGAATAAAAGATTTGGATATGATATTGGAGACGGAAAATCCACCATTAACCAACATTGTCAAAATTCCACCATCACTTATAATACCCGTATACGTACCGGACCAATAGAATCGAGCAGTCACGAGTTTTTACGAACAACAGACTTTGAATACGTAAAACTGTATTTTGTTTTAGGTGGAAAATACACCTCGATCGATGTTCATAAAAGTCAACAAGAAAGAGAGTTTATAGTACATTTATCGTTTGCCGAAGGTTCCGACTCCATCCTTGAAGGTGGTGGTTTTATTTCTAGAGCCAAGATAAACATCGAAAAAGAAAAAATAAAATATTCCTATCATCTTAAAGAGGACCATACGAAAAAAGAAATGTCGTTAGTACGCGTAAATGTTTTTACTTTTAATACCCGCAAATATAATAATGCTAGGCCAAACAAGGAGGCTCTATACGATATTCCGTGGTTCCATTTATCGGAAATTCACTTAATTTAACGACTTAAAAAATGGAACTCGAAAGCAGACAACAATACATGATAGACAAACAAGAAGAGTTGAAAATAAAGTTGAGACAGTACAATTCATGCAGGAAAACATGGAGTAGAATCGATTCTTTTTTCAAAACAGCGAGCACAGTTCTAACGGTAGGAGTAACGGTGGCAACGGCCGTGACTGGTGGATTAATGCTTCCGGTCATCGTCCCAACCGTATTGGCTGCATTAACAGCCGTTCAAACGACTTCTTGCGGTCTCATCACTTTAGGTTTCACGAGCAAAAAGAAAGCTCATTATAAAAAGAAAATGGATATCTTGAATATGTATCTTAATCAATTGTACATCTTTTTCGAAAGATCGAGAGAAGACAAGAACATAACAGTTGAAGAATTACAAGAATTCAATGAAATTTTGGACAAATTCCATACAGAAATATCAGCGGTCAAAATAAAGAAATAATCAAAAATATATACTTAAAAATCGAACTTGATGAAACATTGATAGAAAACGCCCTTTTTTCCGATGTTATCAAGGCTATCTCTGATAAATTTAAAACATTCAAAGGACAAATTAAAATAGATGGAGAGATAGTCGAGGAAGGGAATCACAGACAATACATGTCACTCCTCGGTTTCAATGCCAAAACCTTTCACAATATCTTTTCAGATATGGACAAAAAATCGGATGCTTCCGATTGGTATTTTACAGGAAAAATAATTTTAATGAAAGACAATTTCCAAGAAATAAAAAGATCGAGAGTTGGCAGAGGAGGAACTGATCTGCTTAAAAAGATAAATGAATACGAAGGCGAAAATTGTTACATACCTACAGATGGTCACTGTTTTATCGTCAATCGTGTTTTAAACGAAGACTACACGAGAGAATTTCAAGAATACATCAACGGGTTTTCAAAAGCAAATAGAAAAGGAGTGATGACTTGTGCTAGAATGAAGGAATTCAACAAGAAATTTAACACTTCGTTTCAAATTTATAATCCCAAAAACAGACATTTTCATCCCAGAGACGTTCACGATGAATTAGATTGGGTTTTTTACTTACACAACTCGCATTTCTGTTTGATTAGAAGAAGCCAAAAAAGTTTGGGAATTCAAGAAATAGAAGGCAATTACGAACAGGTGTGGAAAACGTGTAGAGACGACAACGCAGTGACACAGGTTTCACCTCTCAAACTAAACGTGCTTTCAAGTATGAGTGATGATGCGTTATTCGCTTGGGATTGCGAAACGTATTCAGAAAAAGACACGCGAAGAGCAATTCCTTATGCCTGCACTTTAATTAATTTGGAAAAACTAAGGAAAATGTTAAACAGAATAAATAATCTCTTTCCAGATTTAAAGTCATCAAATTAATGATACTCAATATATTGTTGAAACAGAAATTGAAGAAAAAGAGATTACTACCGAAGACAGTAAATCTACACGACTAACACCTAGTTATTTGGGATCATTCGTTTTATCTCACAGTAAAAAAATAATGAACAATTTCATTCACGTCATAAATGGATTTTATAAACCCGAAATATACTATACCGACACCGATAGTTTGTACATTTCATCCAAAAATTGGAAAAAACTAAACAGAGCTGGTTTGGTCTCCGAAAAAGACTATTGCAAAGGTAAAAACGATTACGGTGACGGTGGAATTATATTTGGTTTATATTTAGCACCAAAAGTCAAATACAACATCGTTTTGACTTCTGATGGTGTTTTAAAAGAAAAGAAAACCTTTAAAGGTTATTCTAATGATAAGATAAGTGTAGAAGATTACGTTCAGTTAGCAAGCGGACATGATGTGTCGAACCAATTTAATAAACCATGGGAAAAAAGTTTCACCAATGGAGTAGTTATTCCAAATGATAAACAAACTAAAGTTTTTAGAAGTTATTTGAATAATGTTAAAAGAAAACCACCAAACAGTGAAGGAATTATGTATCCTTACAACGACAAAGACGAGTATAGTTTTGACGAAAACTATGAATTTGATGATTTCGATTATCTTTCTAATCAAGAAGAGAATGAAGATTGTTTTAAATGAAGTTGAATGACAATTTCTTCGTTGCCAAAGTCTATGAACCTGTTTTTACCGTCTTTGATTTCCAGATTTATATCTTTGATCATGAAAGAATTGTCTGGTAAATAGGTCGTTTGAAACGGTTTCTCTATAATTCTGTATCCTATCGGCACCGTAAAAGTCGGTATGCTGTATATGATTTGACGTTTGTGCTTGTTGAAAAATCCACCGTTGATCAAATTACAGTGAATGTTGATCACGTCGATATCGTTCTCGATATTGGCCTTGTGCGGCGCCAATGTCGATTGCGCGTATATTCGTTTATTGAATCCTAGTAACGCATTCAACGAATTTTCTACGTTGAAATCGACTTGACTGTTATTTCTCAAGATCAGTTTTATTTTGTTCAGATTCAAATTACCTTCGAATTCGATATTGTTTTTGCCGTTCACGCTTCCTGCGTATTCGGATAGGTAATCGTTGATGGCTACGTATTCGTAGCTCCCCGGTAGTAAGCTTATGGTTTCGAACGTAACTCCGTTATCCGTCGATATTTTTAGTTGATTGTTTTTTCGTTGATGTTTCTAATGGAATTGTAAACGGAGAAATACTTTAATCCCAGTTCGTACTGTTTATTGCGATCGAGTTCATACTCGTAGTCTAGAGACAATTTGATGTCTGGTTTATTCGAGGTGATAACGAACAATTGTTCTTTATTGGACATTTTAAATGACGTTTATATAGTCTTTTTTAGTGATGATTTCTTTCTCCAAAAGTCGTTTTAATATGGCATTGACTTCGTTGTATTGTCTGTCCGATCGATGACCTTCCTTCATGGCCGCTAATATTATTTCTAATCTATTAAGCAATTCTTTATTGTCGTCGGATAAAAACGTTATACCTTGTCCAGATGCCACCATATCATCGAATTCGTCTATTTCTTGTATGATTGGATAATCATCTACATCCTCTTCATCTTGCTCAATTACTCTTTTATATAGTTTAACTTCTTTCAATCTTCTTGTTTCGGGTCCTGATTTTCTTATTGCATCTAAAAATTTGGAGTATGCTACTAAATCCTATTTAATCGGCAATACCAACATCCTTGCCATTCATTAAATCTATTAATCCTTTCGTTAATGTAAATATAAAGTCTTTTGTGTCGATTTTGAATAAAGGGGAATTTGGACTAAATATAATTCTAAATCCATTAAACAATAAACCTTGATTATCAACGATTGGTGAAATGCTCTTTGGTAAATCTGGGTCAGGGTTTGAAAAAAGACGTTTTATATCAACTAATGTCCTAATTATAATACCATTATATTCAATCGCTTTGGGTGTTCTATAGGAGGCGTGGGTTCTAAAGCTAATTTCTTTTTAATATCCACTTGAGATTTTAATATGGGTTGAAATAGAGTTTGTAGATTTTCCGTTAATCCGAGTTGTTGTAATCTGTTATTTTCAACTTGGGTCTTTATTTTATTCTTAGCTTTGATATATTCTCTATTTCTTTTTAAAAAATTATTCCAATCCGTCATTTTTAAAAATATAAAATTTAACAAATGTTTGTCATAACTCTTTCACCCGCGGGTTTTCTAGTATTAACGAATACATATCCATGATCATCCGGGTTTCTCCATTGTGCTTTACAATCCTTTTTGAATGTATCTCTGTCCATTCCGTGATTTATAGTCTAAATGATTTGAGATAAATCTTTATCGTTTAATCCAAATAATAAAAAACAATTTGCATTTTTTCTAATTAACATAGAATCCATCCCGTAAAAAGATTGGGATTGGTATATGCAGTGACAGTTGTGATGTCTTCCTTCGGTAAAGAATTCTTGTTGAACAGTTTGATTTCTTTGCGCTACGCAGTCGTCAAACAATATTAAGTTCTTTCGATTGCTATCAATATTAGACAAGTCTAGATCATTAACATTTTTCGTAAGAAAAACTTTTATATCCGTTGGATTGAAAGATGGATTCTTTGATTTAATGAAGTTTTCTATGATATCTTTTATTTCCACTTCTTCTTCGTTTTCTTCGTAATATTGAAATATGTCTTGAACATCTTTCTTTGGTAAATATTCTAAAGCTTTGAGGAATTGATAATACGATTGCTCTGGTGTTGTTGTGTAGATATACAGAGAATCGAAATCTAAAAGGTTTGGTGTTGTCAACATGTTAAAAGTGAGATGAGTTTTGCCCATTTTTATTTATTACATTTTCGTACCAAAAATCACCCCGTTGCCTTTATACTTTGAAAGGAAGATTCCCTCGCCCGAACGTATGTTTTTAAAAAATATGGCGTCGCCCTTGTGTTTGACCTTCATTTCTCCGGTGTCGATTTTATCTATTCATTTGCTTAATCCCTCTTTAACGGTTTTCTTGGTTTCTTCGCCAAATCTTTGTCCGAATTCTTTAACCGTCCCTAATATATCTCCTACTCCCGAACCTCCTCGTGCTTCTCTTTCCATTGCCAAATTGTGTCTACGTGCTTCGGCGTTTGCAGCGGCTTCAGCTTTCTTATCGTTGACAGCTTTGGCTATCCCAGCAGCTCCACCAGCAGTTGCACCGGCTGCAGCTAAACCAGCAAAGATTA